ACGGTGACAACAGTGACAACGGTGACAACGGAGCAACAGTGACAACGGTGACAACAGTGACAACTGTGACAATGGTGACAACATTGACAATGGTAAAAACAATGACAACAGTGACAACGGTAACAACAGTGACAATGGTGACAACAGTAACAACGGTGACAACAGCGATGACAGTGACAACATTCCAACGGTGACAACAGTGAAAACAATGACAACAGGGAAAACGGTGACAACAGTGACAACGATGACAACAGTGTCAACTGTGACAACAGTGACAATGGTGACAACGATGACAACAGTGACAATGGTGACAACAGTGTCAACAATGACAACAGTGTCAACGGTGACAAGTGTCAACAGTGACAAGTTTGACAACGGTGGAACAGTGGCAACAGTGACAACGGTGACAACTGTGACAAAGGTGACAACAGTGACAATAGTGACAACAGCGACAACGGTGACAACGGTGACAACGGTGACAACAGTGACAACGGTGACAACGGTGACAACCGTGGCAACAGTGACAGCGGTGACAACAGTGACAACGGTGAGAACAGTGACAACGGTGAGAACAGTGACAACTGTGACAACAGTGACAACGGTGACAACGCTGACAACAGTGACAACAAGGACAACAGTGACAACAGTGACAACACCGACAACAGTGACAACAGTGACAACGGTGCCAACAGTGACAACGGTGACAACACCGACAACACTGACAAGGGTGACAAGGGTGACAACAGTGACAACGGTGACAACACCGACATCGTTTTTTTATTCATTTATTACCAAAACGAAGAGCATGGACATTCGTTATCAATTCTCTTTTGCTCTAAAGTCACAAGATGTATGCTAGACGAACAATTAATCTGGATTGTCTTACTCTACCTAAAGCTAAATTACGTTCGTTTTGCACAGTGCTGAAATCTGTAGCTAAGGGTTTTAAGGCAAATAAATAATAGCATCTAAAGGAATGTCAAAAAGATTGTAGCTTTGTGCACGCGAGTCCTTTTATGTTTGTAAATGCAAACAAAAGTACTTTTGTATGGCTGTAGGAGTAGCCCGCACATTAGGACTATGATTTGTGATAAGGAAATTATGGCTGTCGTGTGGAATGTCGCAAAGTGTAAACAGACTCATGGGAGATACAGTAAAAACCCTCAAGTAAGAACCTAATTGTTAGATATATTATATACTAGAACCTATTTAGCCTAAAATTTGATTAAGTACATTCATGTCATGGTCTAAAGGACGACTTTAACATTTTAGCCAGTTTGAGGAGAAGTGGCAGCCGCACACAGGCTACAAATGCCACTTTTTCATGAATACTTTGTAAGTATGGAGATTTGACATAAGAAATGGGCTAACAGAAAACAAGACCCTTCTTGAGAACCCAAATAGCCAAACTTTGTGCTAATTACTATCAATTTAAGAACCAGTTAAAGCTAACTTAGAAAACTGCAGGTTCTTATTCGTAGGTTTTAACTGCAGTCTTCAGCTGCACTGACTCTTACAGTGAAATTGTTAAATTATGACCAGCATATTGCTGGTATGCAGCTGATTTCACGGCAGCTATGTTAATTGACAAGGCGGCCAAAAATCTGCGAGCCCATGCAATTTGTGCAAGCCATGGGAAAACATAAAGTTACAATGAAAACATACGTGAACAATGCTTTCTGCTTAGTCCCCAATAGGTATGCGAGGTTTTGCTGCTAGACTATTTGCAACATTGCGCAGTCTTGGTCGACTTTTATTGACTATCGCTATGCTCTCTGTTAATGTTTTTCCTTATTACTGCTTTTTCGCCGTTTTTGGCATTTTTTTTGCATGACTCGTTGGCTTGCAATGGCTAGCTGACAAGAAGAAACGTTTCCTCCGCTAGAAACCTGACTCTTTTTACACGCAAATTGTGAGACCCAACATGGCCGCCTTACCACGGGTTGCAATCAAGAATAGCCACAAAAATTACAAGTAAACAAAAGAAAACAATAAAATTAGAGTGTAATATTGTGTATTAGTCCACTATCTATTTCACGGGTTAAGTAGGATCACTCTAAGGCCTTTTCCATAATATAGTAGGTTAATTGTAAAAAACAGATTCGTAAGAATATAATATTGAATAATATAGGTATTGTTTCCCTTCTTCTACTGCAATACAAAAGATTATTCTTAATGAATATCAAGAATCTAAACTAGCTCCTTTTAAAATTCCCCGGTTTTTCGCAAAGGAAGTCCAACAGATAACCAAACACGTTATTCAAAAAAATAATCAAAGCTTAAATAACTTTTGGTTGAGTAGCCTGCCTACACAGACGTTTCAGCGGTTGGTGTTCTCTCTGCCCAAAAGCGTACTTTTCGGGTGGAGGGATGAAAAAACCGGAAATTGGTTGAGGTTCATGCCTCATGTTTAAAAACACTGTACAACATAAAGTATAAAAAGCAGAATTAAGGTTTAAGCTCAGTGTTAAATAAACCTCTCTTTTGAACACATCTGATAAAAACGTCAATGAAACTTGTCTGCTTCTATATATTACCTTTCGGAGGAGAAGGTTATATATTAAAGTGCAACTTTTAAAAACTCTTTCTAACAACTATTTTCAAAGAAACCACAACTCTTGTCAAAGAGTAAAATGAAATCTGTTACTGCCAAGCAAAGAATTAAGGAACTTAAAAGAAATCGAGCATAATAAATTATAAACACTAACTGACGTTAAACTGGGGTAGTTGCTGTGTTAAATTTTCGCTCATTAATAATTTCAAGCCGAAAGGAATGTACCGTGGCGTATTTGCATATCTGAAAAGAAAAAACTCCTCATTTTTGCATCCTTAATTTCTCTTCGAAAATCGCTTTGTTCAGACAAGTGATGCTAAACACTTGACACATTGTTTCGTCAAATATCAACCCTTTCGTACGAGATAACGTTATAACAAGATCATTTGTCACTTTGACTTGGACGTAATCTTTGACTGTTACCATTCAGAGCAAACATCTTCGACAGAACATTTGCATAGCCTTTGTGTAGCACTATTTGTTTTTTTTTTAGGACTTCCCAAAAAGAAATTAAAATTTTTTCATCTTTTTCTTTGGTCATTATTAACTGTGAAAGGGTTTAACACCTTAAAGATCATCGAAAGTACTCTGCCAGGTGTTTTAACAAATTCAAAAATTTTAACTCTATTCTCGGTGTTTGGAAAGTGATGAAACACTGTGTTTCGTGTTTCGTGCATAACTTGAAAAATTATTCATTTGAATAAAATGGCTTTAGTACTTCAAACTAGTTATTACAAATTATATATTACAGAAAATCACAAAGCGCCTTAATGTTTATTACGGCTTTAGATGAAATTCTTCCAAAAAGTTAGATAATTTTTCAAAATGCCTAATTTAGATAATTCAATGGGTAAAAAATTTCAAGTTCTCATTTTGCTAGCTTTTGTCAATGTCCTCCCACTTGACATCGGGAATAACTCCTTTCAATGAACAACGAATAAACTTTTCCATCTTTTTCCGTGCATCCTGTTCCTCAAGCAAGCTTTTCCGGAGAGATTCAGTTTCCTAGGGGGGAAATAAGATCAATGGAGAAATATTTCATTTAATTAAAGCAATGTAATGAACTCAGAGGGCAACCAAGGTGGTAGCCTGGGAAGCTTTTAAATACAGCCCGGGGGTGGGGGGAGGGGTTACTCAACAAAGTTTAATACGAAGAGGCTCCGCCCCGAGGTCCAACCCCTCACCAGTTTTACATACCATTTTTGACAGAAAAGGGACCTCTTTCGTATACCTTCCACTGCCAAATGGCACTCCTTTCACATACCTAGTTAGAACCACTGTATCCCTTTTAACTGCTGTAGATGCACTGTCTTTTAAATATGAAAAAGAAATCACAATACCAGGAAATCTTTTCACCCTTTTCATAGCCATAATTTCTCTTATTAGCTCTTTTAGGTCTTTTGACAGACGGAAAAGACACATTTCCCTACCCTTTCATATACCGTAAAATTCCGAAAATAAGCCCCTCCAAATATAAGCCCCTCAAACTCGTAACGCAAAAAACCCTCCGTTAAATCGCCCCTTCGAATATAAGCCCCTGGGGGCTTGTACTTGGAAAGTGCCCTAAAATACAAAATAAATTAAGGCAAAAACGGTACAGTAACATATCAATTTTTGTATTTGCCAAAGAACTATTTCGTGTCTGCCAAGTGTTTGTAGTCAGAAAGTGTCACAGTTAATTGCTGTTTGTGTGGTTCGTCTTCACTCTTAGCCTTAATTTTCTCCTTCCATATGGACAAAGTACTTGTATGGCCACGTTTTAGAAAGGTCTACGTCCTCAAGGCGAGTTTCAGTAAAAACTTTCTGCAAATTACTGACATAAATTTCCTTTCAACTATAAGCTAGCCCAATCGATTTTGAGACGCTAATTTCCCCCCAAGTATAAGCCTTGCCGATATTGAAACGAAAACTTCCCTCCGTTTATTAGCCCCTCAAAAAGGGCCTTTGAAAAATATAAGCCCCGGGGCTTATTTTCGGAATTTTACGGTACTTCATCTGGTAAAATCCCTACCCTTTCATACATCTGAGGCCTGAAAAAGGTACCCCTTTTGGGCGGAGCCTCACCGTATAGGCCATTATAGGGACTATCCTCCCCGGGCAAAGAGACAGGTGGATACAAGGAGGGAGACCAAAGGGCACTCAATCTTTTTGTAACTGTTGTTGTTTTTTCGCTCTTTCTTGTATTCTAATAAGATTTAATGTAATAAGCATTGTAACCGAGTAATTAGATTTTGTCTGTGAAGTCAACTTCCTCTTCTTGCTCCTCTTCACTGGGGATCTTTCGTGAGACATGTGTAAGGTTTAGCCTCACAAATTCCATACTGATGACGCAAATCAATGTTAACATAAATAAACCAGTACTCACAGAGTTTCAAAATATAAATTTGTTCGAGTTTCTCGTTCTCGTAATTGCAAAATGTTGCTACTCTAAATTTGAGCCAGAAAATCTGAAATAATTCTTGAAGAGCAAGTATATTACAAGGGAAGGAGTGTTTGTTAGAGGATTGAGTGCCTTGTATATTTTTGAGACCTTTAAACGGTAATCGTACGTAGATTATGGACAGATTTACGTCATCACTATGAAATTTGGGGGTTCAAAACGTTGGTGTTTTATCATGTCCAACTGCAAATAGGATTTTGTAAAACGTCAAATTTAAGACTGACATAAATGTTTTACACGTTTGGTACCAACATTCTCAACACCATCTCCCACACATTGTACAGGACTAAAATTTGTTTAAAACGTGAGGCTGCTAAGTTCGCTATATCCTCGTGACTTCCAAGTTTAATTAAACTTTGCTATTATGAGAAATAAGACGCTTTTACATTAAGAGTTTAATGGATTTCACGTACCAGTTGTAGTTCTTCCACTCTCCTTCGTAGACAGTTGAATTCACCAACTACATCCCTATGGACAAAAACAGATAGTTGTCATGCAAGAAAATAAACGAATTCACACTAAATTATTTGAGATATACTCTAGCGATTTAAAACACACATTACCTGGGATGGGCTGGGATAAGTATTAACTATAACGTTTTACTTTATTTCTAGTGATACTTAAGGTCGATAGAAAACTACTACCAAATTCCACGAGTGGAATACACAAAAATAAAGTGCACCAGGTCAGGGAATTTCGCTGAGATTGCATTAGAATAGTTTCACAATGTGATTTCAATCAAGGACTAACAATTCAGGGTAATATCTCCTCTTTAAAGTTTACTGTGGGATCGAAAGCAAAATCCCAGCTTACCTCATACAAATAGAACACTTGACTTGTAATAACGTTTAGTTAAAAAAACACACACACAACTTGTGATCAGCAAAGTCTATTTATTTCTAATAGCTGCCAAAAAACAGCATAGTGATGGGAAGTGAAAGCTTGTTAGAGGATATCTGTTTTGGGCAGAGTATACAGTAGCATCAAAGCCAGAAAGTATATCAACCTTTGCAAAAGGGTACAACACTCAGGAGAAACTGCTGAATCGCTCAATGTGTGGGAATCCAAGACAGTTTTGGTTTCTAGGTTGTTCCCTTATATATTAAAGGTATTTGGGGGGTTTCTCTTGTCCTAGAGAGGTCAGGACTTTAAACAGTCAGTGGTACCTTATGCGAAATCCGAAAAAAAAGCTTTACTTAGGCAAACTATGATAAGCAAGCTTTAAGTACAGTTAAAACTTCCAAGCTCACCTATTAAACTTTTTCTTTGATTTCCTTGTTTTTAGCCCATCTCCCTTCAGACTTGAGGTTGAAGATGGGCGTTGAGGGGGTAACTCTGGAAGAATTGGACTACCTGTGAATTGAATGGTGGAACAAGGGGACTCATGCACTGTTTTAAGTCATGCACAATTTAAACTGGGACAGTGATTTATATGAATTTAAGAAAATTATGTCATAAGGTCATTGGAGATTATAGTAATTCACGACAACTACGTGCAGCCCTATGCATTTATAAACCATTACAGTTTATTTATCGGATCTTTAAAGGGGAATCACTAACAGTAAAGACAGATAGTCAGGAGGTAAATGTTTTCATTAAAACAACTCGTTTTAAACTTTTCTTTAGGTCAACTTGAAATAATGATGATTTGTAGATTAAAAAACTACAATTTACAGCTTATTTAATATCATTCACAAAATAATGATTAAAAACCAACAAATTTAATTTCATCTATTGCAAAAAGACCTTCTTGCCTTAAAAAAAAATCAGGAAAAGGAACAGTTACTGCTGCGTTAGCTCAGTTTCTTAAGAATTAAGTTTAATAATAATTTAATTCTGACCTTTCAACTGTAGAAATAATGTTTATATAACCTATAGAATTTAATTCACGAATACATATTAGTGATTATCATGCATCATAGCTTGATCGAAACCTAAGAAGTAAATTATTCACCTTGTAATTATGAGAAATTTTCTTTAGTTATTTTAAGGATATTAAGCTGTGTGATGTAACTTCCTACGATCACGGTGGTTTATCATAACACAAATGATAATCATCAACACCAGCATAAATTAACTGAATACAATACAAACTTCTTACCAAAGCAGAAATAAAGAAACTCAGACAAACATTTGCGTTTCACGAAAAATTTCTAAAAATCCGTTTCCCTCTACCCCACACTCTCTGGACAAAATGCATGCATTATTTTTCAGTTCAGTGAAAATATTCACAAAAGGGCACAAAGAGTTAACAAAGTTTGCTTTGCTAAGCAAAAAGTCCTCATGAAACGAACCAGAGATAAAGGTTACTTAGGAAGAGACTCTTCTAATTTGCATTACAAAGCCACCCAAGGCACTTTCAAGCGCTATTTGAAAAGTGGGTCCCTCCATTGATAAAGCCCAGGGAAACTGTACAAAGAAGATGGTATTTTGATACAAATTCATCAGGATATTAGACATGTGGTTTGATTCTTTCCACCCTCAGCAACATGCAAGTGTAACACCGGAAGCTTGGAGAACAAAAATTATTCTTTAGTTTATGTATTGTATAGTGGATTACAAGAAAAGAATTTTGGAATTTCCTCGTTACTATTTTAGACGTTGAAACTTTGACGGAGTATTGTCAAGGCCAAAAGGAAAATCCACCCTCAGCAAGTTTTTTCCAAAACAAAATTCCAGTTCCCATTACAAAAAACAAAACTTAGTCCGTGTAACACAAAGTTAGGACGAAATAAAACGTAACAAAAACTGCGCAGCTAAAAGATGAATCATATTATACCAACTTTCAATTTGACAGGAAGTCACACCAGTGACAAAGTCTTTTTAAGACGTATTTTGTACCCCAGAATAGAATTCAAGAAAAGAGACATTGAAAAACGAATAAAAGTATTATGAAAAGATTTCAATTAGAAGGCCAATCCTTGCAAATAAGTGCAGAGACTCGACAAATAAAGTTAGTCTTAGGCCTTCAAAACAGACTCTGGGAGGCTAAGCATTAAAAAGGTTTTAAGCATCCCTGTACCTCAGGCAACAACAGGATTACACACCCCAGACCACACCTTCCCTTTCCCGTTCCCTCTATCTGGCCAAAGACATCACTTGCACCAAACTACAACGCCCTATCAACCTTCAGACTACAAGCTGTAATCAAAAGAAAGAAGTGTTTTGCTTTGAATACCTGAAACTGCCTTGGTCCTTTGTGTGTCTGTATTGTAAGGCAAATCAGAAACATTACTTGTGCTACGATGCCTAAATTTCAAATAGGGAGCATACAAAGAGAGCAAAAAGCCAAAATCGGTTTTCTGGAGGGGGGCGGGGAGAAGAGGACAGGGAGAGGGTTTAATGAAGCACAGCATACAGGTGAAACTGTATAGCCAAAATAATGGGAATAAATGAAAGGTCAAAGATATTTCTATCAGGTAACTTGCTTATAAAGTCACACTTTTCGTTCCCTAAAAAGACATCTAAGGTGCATATTACTAGATTTATCATCCACTCATTGGAGCCACCTTGACTATAGAGAGTACTTACTTTGCTACAATACTTATTTGTGTGAAGTAGAGAAGAAAAATGAGCTAAACGTTTAGGTAGACATACTCAAATTAATTGCTGCTTGTGAACTCAGGGGCTTCAAAAGTGAAAAGTTCACATTGCCAGGTGTGGTGCTCTAGTGTTTCCTTATCTGTAAAATTTGTCACGCTTGGTGGTGTGTAGCAAGGCTGCAAGATCAGCCGGTGTAGCTGGTACAGCAAGGGAAGGCAGGAATGAGGCCCTCTAAGGGGGAATACGTGTCCTTAGGTGGTCGTTTCGCATATAGGAGAGGAGGCCATGTTGCTGTTGACATTTTACCATTGTATTTGTGATTTTCCTTGTCACTGTCAGTTTTTACCCATTTTGTCACAGTCGCAGTTTTAACCCATCTTTATGTCGTTTGTCGCCATTTCACCTGTCTTATGTCACTGTTTCAAGGCCATGTCGCTTGTCTGAATTAAAGCCTAACAGGGCCTCAGGAGTGAAAGAGAGCTTTTTTATGGGTGGAGGAAATTGTAGACAGCAAGGGAATTTCACTGGTGGCTATAAAAGTCAAAATGAACTTTAATCATGTCAATTTCCCCTCGGGACTAAACTGTCAAAAAAAGCAATTTTGATTGAAACAAGGCACTCATGGACCCAATGCCATCAGCTACACCGGCTACACACTTGTTTGTAATAGATTATCCTTGCTAGTAGTACTGTTCAAGATGTTATAATAATTTATCATATAAACGCCAATGAAATACAAGGTGAGCTTTCGTGCAAAAACATTATAGCTTCACATGTAAAACTTACATCCTGTATTCACAAGTGAAAAGAACACCGTTGCTATGGCAACATAATACACCGCACCTTTCACACAAAAAGTGGTTTGGTATTTCAATGGTGTTTATATAATAAATAAAACATTACATGGCTTCTTGGAGCTACGAAATTTCTCTTCTTGTGTTCAAAAATATTTAACTTGTTTGCTGCGCTCACTCATGAAATATTTTTCCAATACTCAAACAGAAATTTCGTGTCTCCTTGCGGTCATGTTATATACTCTATATTGTACATGTACAATATGCATGTAAAGTATGTAATAATTTCTGACTCTTTATTGAGTAGTCGATATTTCTAACTGTAATAGCACAAAGTGATTCATTATTTACAATATATACAGTATGTGCATATTTCTCATAATGCATATAAACCTTATTTCACAATGATGCTGTACTAATTTAAGTATTGAAACTTTTTTTATCAAGATAACCTGCAATCAGACTCTTTTCCGTCCATTTGGTCAAAAAGTTCCCAAACACATGGGAAAGCAGCACAAACAATAATACACAACAAAAAATCTGGCCTGATTACAGGTTAGGTTAGTTAGTGTCAAGTATAATAAATTATCCAATAAATAGTACCAAATCTAATGAATCTTTCTTCATGTAAAAAAGATCTAAATAATTATCAATAATGAGTACTCAAAGCTGTCATCAGCCATGTACCTCTTTCATCACACACAACTTGCACTATCCCGTTAAATATCCTAATCATTTATACTATTACTAGTCAAGTCACTACCAACAAGATATAAAATGTTTGCTGGTTCACTTAACCTGCCGCTACTACGGTTATAATTTTTTTATTGAAACCCTTCGTGGCCAAAAGTGCATGGTAAAGAAGTAGGATCATCAGATTTCTGTTAAATTTACATCTAACCTACTTTCCCTAACGCACAAAATGGCCTGTCACCAACGAGGACTGTCAAAACTTCCCAGTAGAATCAAGACATGATACTTATGATAAACATGATCAAGACATGATACTTATCATAAATAAAATCTGTCACTCACAGTCAGATATTGCTGTCACATTGATTTCATTCTTCCTCTTATTATAATACTAATTTATTTCTATACATATTTAATATTGAACTCCTTCAATAAAAAAAAAGAAAAAAAGGTAAATAGAATCTAAAAGGCCAACATGAAACATTTTGTAATTCAAAAAATAAAAAAATATATTGCTTGAAAATAATGTGCCAGTAACTAAAAAATAGCAGTATTTAACCCTGCTGCGTGCTGTGTTATAGTGTCATGTACATTTTAGTTCTGATTCTAGAATTTTTAACTCGTACACTTCCAGTTTTCTAGTGAGTGGGATCCATAGCGTATCTAAAACTACCAGTAATAATAAATAATTATTATAAACTGACATTAAGTCATTAACATAACATACAAGTTCTGACAATTGTACGTGTACCTTTCTTATTTTTGCCTGGTTCTCCATGGCTTGGAGTCATATAAAGGTATTTTAGAATCTTGTCTCAAACTGTCAGAAGTCATAACACTAACTTCTTGATATATTTTAATCTGCTACCTGCTTCTCCTGTTTGCAACTTAATTTATAAATCAAATCTTTAAGTGCAACCCTGCAAATGAAAGCTACTTAGGGTGGCTTTCTTATCATAAGGTAACGCAAGTGTTCTAAATGGACATTTTAGAAGACTAATGCAGAAGACTCCTTTAGTCCAGAGTTTAATATGTGTACAATCTACTCTTGCTAACTAGTCCTGGGCAGCAGCCATGTGCCAAGATCTTGGCACCTCGTGGACGACTTGAATGAATTGATTCATCATTTTCATCATCATTAGCAACGTCTTCGGCAAGACCGCTGTGATGGGAATTTTTTGCGTCTTCTGCACACACAACGAAGGTATAACAAAGACTTAGAATATGACGCCTGACTTGTCACTAAACATATTTATTTACTAAGACACTAGTCCTTTCACTTCAGAAGGCAGATGTTGAGCTGTGAGTTTTAGTTGGAACTCTTAAGTCTCTGGGTTGATGTATGCAATCCTCGAGTGTTGCCACATAAAACAGGTTATTTCATGTGGTGTTGAAATTTGAGTCTGTGACTTAAGTCCAAGAGTGTTACCTTTGCGTGTTACTGTCAAGCTGCACAAGGCAGTGGCAACATTTGAATCTGAATGATCTCGTACAGTTCTGATTATATTTAAAAAAATTGAAAGTAGGCTCTTAAAGAAGTCAAAGATTTAAAATCTATATTAAAGGTATAAATCAGAGTTTAAATTACAGGTTAGAAGTTAGAACACGAAAACATGACACATGCAATTTAAGGAGTAACATTACATTATAAGAAGTTTTAGACTCAAAGTCCACTTTGGCTAGGTGAAATTTCAGGAGGAAAAACTTTTTCAAGTGCAAGTTATCGGTGACTACAGAGTGTTTCAGTGCAAATTATAAATATGGCAAATAAGACATGATGTGCACAGCTGAATATTATGTGGCATGCAGACCAGCACAAAATATGCACACAAGAAAAGGATCACATTCTAAGATTTCATATTTGTTATACCTTCAGGGCATGTTTTCACAAAAGCTCGAGTCTGGTGAGGGTGTCACCTCTGTAAGACGTATTGTATGATCTTTAATTTAACTCTATTTTGCATGCGAAAAATGTGGAGTGACTAGCAATATTTATAAAGTCTAGTGCAGTGTAAATATAGTCTTTGTAACTGCAAGTGCATTACAGCAATAGTATTTATTGAAGTGCTTTATTGCAGTGCCAGGTCTCGAGTATCGGTTTTTATAAAAATTTTAAAAAAACTTACAAAACTTTTGCATTGACCGAAAACAGGAAAACAAAAGCAATGATGATCCAACCAAGCCTTGTTTCAATGGCTGTGAATTGTGTTCTAGATTCTCCATGTGACACTCATTTAGCCAAACTCATGTACTTAGTTGACAAACTTAAACAGCAAATAAGTGATTGATGTAGTTATGCAACAAAGTGATGGGAGGCAGGGTATAAAAACAAAAATGAAAGAAATGAATGTGATAAAATGGTAACACAACAGTGGTACACAGAATGAAAAACTTTAATAAACCCAAACCTAGTACAACATTGACAATCAAGTTTATGATAAGATTTGAAATAAATTTTACAAGTCAGCTTTTAGCTTTTGCACATAGTTAATGAAAAATACCCCAGGCTAATTTTTACAAGAAGGTGCAAGACTTTCAGCAAACGAAAACTATACATTAGTGCCTAAGAAAATGCTGTCATTTAGAAAAGCACAATACTGATGACAACCACTGAGTGTTTCTTTATGAATAACTTGAGATCTTACGTCACAGTTATTCAGTAAAATCAGCATCAATGTTGTGGACAACAAAATTATTATAAATGATCTTCCACTCACCATGATCAATCAACTATTGATTGCAACCAGTTATCAAGAACAATACATTGATAACAACTAGAATTATTAGCAGCAGTAACCATTATTTTTCCCTTCAGTTTCATTCCAATTCTATTTCAGCCAAACAGAGGTGATTCTTTGCTACTAATAATAATTTTCATGGACAGCACGATACAAAGTTTGCAAGTTACCAGAATTATAAACCAGTGACTGCACCAATTTCTAATGTTACAATCATGAGTGTAGCTTTCAGAACAACTATGTACTTGAAGCAAAGCCAATAAATTATGACTGAATCTTTTCAAATTTATGGCAGGAGCACAGTAAAAACTGTACAAAATAAGAAAAGTTCATCTCGGTCTATATTAAAATTTTACCTATGGAAAAAAAAAATCTCTGAACGGCGAATCAAAGCAAAAGTTAATGCAAACAAACAAATTTTGCCTCTCATCATCCCAAACTCTTAGCCGAAATAATAATAAAAATAATAATAATAATAATAATAATAATAATCAAAATAGCAAATATCAAAAAAGTAGCCTGGTGGATTGACTTTTTAATTAAATTCAATGAAGTATTCATTTCAAGCAGGCTTTGTTTCTGAAATTCAACAAAATAATGTTGCCATTACTCTCGCACCACACTGAAAACCCTGGCCTTAAATCAAAATTTCAATTCCCTTTTTGATGCTCCCACACATTTCCTGCAGAGGTAATGGAGAGAAGTTGTCGAGCAAATTTCTGTCGTGTGTAATATTCTTAATTGTTCAAACCACTCTGTTTTATAAAGCACTGATAATACCAGAACCATTTTGATGCTGATCAACCTAAACCAGGGTCAACCAGTACCATACATTAGCTAAACTGTCTCCACAATTTCCAGTGCAGTACCATATTGTTATTATTAATTACAATCCCCAGAATTGGACAGAGGTATACAACAAGGGACAAATTTTGCTTAAAATACTGGTGAGCATTAACATTACATGTTGTCATTTCTGACAATCTAAAGAACTATTGAATAAAATATAACACAGGATACCATGAGTTTTGCAACAAAGAACAGTGTTATACAAAATACAGCATTGTTCATTACATGTGTTTTCTCTATTGTAATGCTTAACATCATAAACTTGGGGAAAAAAGAGAAACCATGTAAACAACAGTCTTTTCTTTGGAAATAAAACTATCCATCTCTCTTCTAAAATGCTAAAGGTGCATACAAGCCAAGGAAGCCTACATGGCCTGAGCTTAACTATTTTCCATGGTAAGAAGTACCTAGGAGAATGACGACTCCCCACTGGAGAAGAAGCTAGTCCATCTCAGGAGTACTCAGCAGTACATCGCTGATACTATGCCGGGGTGAAGGGAGAGACAAGTGGAGCCAACAAGGTTCATACTTTTTTCACCTCTTCAAATTCCACGACTTCCAAGGACTTTTTTCATGACCTCTTTTACGACTTTATGTTTGGCTGTCACTATTAAAAATTTTCCAAGCTATCCTTGTTTCACGGCATTTTTTTACCTATGTAACTTAGTTCAACAGACACAAATCCTGATTTTCACTAAAATATGTGCTGTTTGTGCTATTAAATTACTTGTCTCTATCTTACTTTGTCCTTCGTTTGACATCAGAAGTAACCAATCTACCAAACGTAGTTTTAATTTTCCACGACTTTCCAGGACCAACTAATAAATTCCGTGACTTTCCAGGACTGGAAAAGGAAATTCTTAAATTTTATGACTTTCCAGGTTTTCCATTACCCGTATAAACGCTGAGCAAAGTTTCTTGTCTAAGGAAACATGACAGCAATTATACCCGGAACTGCAAATTGGATGATTCTTATGCAGTAACTGGAAAAGGTAGTTGTAAAAAGTCACCAAAAATGTGATGCATTTTGTTTGCTGTTCAACTTTTTTGGACCAAGCACATTCCTCATGGAGCTCAGAGATTTTTTCATTAGAACTTTAAATCAAAGTGGTAAAAGCTGATGAGTTCAAAATTTCAGAAGGCAGTGCTAAAAATTGATTACAGGTCACAATCCCACTTGTGACACCATATTTCCCGTTTTGATTGCAACATGTATTATTACAAAGTCACTGAATGGAACTTACTATTCAGTGTATGCCTAGCTCTTGCGCTCGTACAATAAGCTTCTACGACTCGCAGAATAAGCATGTCTTCTTCTAAAACGCGAGTGTTTCCTGAAAAAACAAAAAACAGAGTTTTAGCTGCAGTTAGCTAAGGACCTAAGCCTGTTTCTCAAAACTCCCGGTAAATTTTCCAGCCCATAATCAAATATTCAAATCAATAATATACAGAACAAAAGCACAGGTCCTAGAGAACAAATCAGTCCATTTTGTTTTGTCAACTGATAGTTTTCTCATGTTAACTGGAAAACTATTCAAAATTCGATCTTTAATGTAAACAACAACAGCTTCCCAGGCCCCTTAACTATCAGGAGTTTTGAGAAACACGCCCCTGAAAAGATAATGTCAAATAACCTTTAGGTCAGAATCATGTAAAATATAGCAACCAATAAAACTTCTGATTCTGTAAGCAGTTGACTAAAGGATTTGTGTCACATGATTAAGCCTATTTCAGCTATTAGGCAATGGCCGTAAAATCGGGTCAAGAATAAAACATAACTCCTTAAAACAGTGAAAGAGCATCTAAACCCTTTATAGTGCGACTACTGTAACTGGGGCCACTTAGACAAAGTTGACCAATCAGATTACAGGAAAACAAAAATACATCGTTGGTTGTGGGCCAATCAGCAGCTCATAATAAAACAATAGGTTGTTCGAGGCACAAAATTTAAACATTGATAGCAGATATTTTTCAATAAGGCAAAATGTTTCACCAGACAATGTTTTTCTGTTTGAGACTTTACAAATACCACCCAGGAGACATATTTGTCTGACAGACATCTCGGAATGTATTGTTACTTTCCTGTAATCCAACTGGTCAACTTTGTCTAGGTGGCCCCAGTTATAGTAGTCGCACTGTAATACCTCAGGACATCAAGAGAAAAGGGTATGAGAATTGATAAAATTATAAGCAAGGGAAAACATCTTTCACACAGTGTAATGCACTTGTTAACATCTTTTTACCTGAGGTATTGCCATGTTTGTCATCTTCAAGTTCACTCTTTGTTCGACCTGAGATTGAAAGCAATAACAATAAATATATAGATATTTACCTTGCTAGAATTTATCAACCCCATTCAACACTTTGTTGGAAGAAATAACATATCAAATATGCAGCAGTTCTAAACGTGATTTTTTCAAAAGTTACTTGAAAAGAAAGACTAAAATTGGGATAGTTATTGGTAGATACTAAAGTGTCAGTCAAACAGAAGTGTTGTTCAATAGATAACTTCAAGGGACGTTAGATTACAGAGCTTAGTTTGTTTCATGCTAACAAGATGCTGCGTAAGGATAGAAATTTCTGAACCAATTTGAATAAATGGGCAAGTCATCATATATTTACTTTAGAAGTGCCTGAACATACAGTCAGTTGGTCGAAAGACGGAAGATGATGATCTGACTGATCATAATCTGGTTGATTATATCTGTCTTCCTGGCAACCAGGGCTGTCGTTTTGGGCCGGGGACCAGGGAATTCCCTGGTTACTATGAAAGTGACCCCAGACTAGTTTCATAAAAAAAAAATGGAAGAAAAGTAGAACCACAACAAATCCCAAGCTGTTTGATTCCCGGTTTACTTGTTGTATTTACCCAGAAACTTGAAATCCTAGCAACAGTCCTGGACAAACAATAACAAGTAATTCTGTGAATGATTAGAGGGGCCATTACGCAAACATATTACCCTGGATTTTTCATGACAATATTCTTTACTGTTCAACTTAATACATATATATCATTATCTTTTCACAAGATTAGTTTCTCATATTTTCAGGATAGCAGCTTGTGTGGAAAGAATGTTTGGTCTTAGAGAGTATAACAGAATGGCTTAAGATAGTTTAAAACGACTTCAATAGAACTACAGTGCAACCAAGAATAAAGCAGTTTCTTTAAGCAACAGAATGTTCATGGTATAACACAGACCTCTAAAATTAATATCTACAGGCCCCAGAAAAGTTTCACTAGCAGGACAACGAGGTTTTTAAAAACGTTTTCCACACTATTAACAAGGTTGCTCTGTAGTTTATTCAACACTTTAGGTAAGTGATAGTTTTGCAGTAACTTAAATATTTTATACAATATTTTATCCTTAACTTTTTATCATCATTTTTAGACAACTTATCTTTTAATTGCAAATTAATTTTTTATACAGAAGAGAGAAATATTTAAAGCACCAATTTATTTTTATCCATAACTCCACACACTTGAAAGACAGGCAAGAATTGCAAGACAGTAAGAAGTTAGCATGAAATTCATTTTAGGCATTACTTACAGTCAGAAGTGCAAGATTTGAAAGATGTAAGCGGATTAAGAGTAAGACAACCTACAAGAGAATTCATTAATCACCTTTTAAACTTGCCCTTGAGATGATGGCTGGTTGAAGTGGAAACAGGTTTTGAATGTTAGTTTTGATTTTTTTAGAGTAGAACCTCTCCACAATGGCCAAGGGGGAGGGGGTTAAGTGGCCATTGCAGAGAGGTACCCATTATACCGGGTGGGGTAAGGGTGTTATGTTACACCAGTTTTGGAGGGAAAGGGAAGATAATTTTTTAACACGTGCTCATAATAATGACTGACAAATTTTTATACAAATCTACCCTGAAGTTCTGAATATATGAAAATCATATATGTGAACTGTGGAGTCAAGAATTATATGAATGAAGATCATCGCAGTTTGTTTTTTTTCCAGGCTCTCTTTTTGCAGCTGCAAAAGTTACGTATATAACTGCGATGATCTTCATTCATATAACAGATTTACACTATTACAAATTTTAAAGCACTGCACTTAAAAAGAAATATTATCGGATGAATATGATAAACCATTTTCTAGAATAGGCTCACAAATAATCACATAAAAAATACTTCCAGATACTAAAACCCCCTCTCCTGAAAAGATGTTAGTCTTCAGTTGAACTTTGAAAGTGTCAAAGTTCTTAGAGAGCTTGACAGTCAAAACTAGTGAGTTTTAGCAGTTTGGCTTTGCTGAAGCAAAGGCACTGCCACCAACTTTGGTTTTGTCAGGGGAAGAAGGAGGTGCTGTTCCTTGGCTGATTATGGTTAACATGGACCACTTAACTTTGGGTGTGCTCATCAGAGATATCAGGGGGAGGAACTTTGTTCAAAGCTTTCAAGACCAACTAGGAAACTTTTAGTAGTGCATATATGGAAGCATATTAATAAAAAACATCTTAATGTCAAAATAATTAACAATTATTGGACGAGGTTGAGCAAAATATCATGATTTCTCAGTGGACACTAGTTCAATATTATTATTTGACGAAGCTGAAGGCTAAAGCAAATAATTGATCTGGGAGACACTGACAAATGACCATATTTTGTGATAACTGAGTTTAATTATTGTTTTATCAATCATTCACCGAGTTTGCTTTTAGTGAAAATCCTCGGGAAGCGAAACAATCAGCCATTTTCATGCAAGAGTGATCGCAAGAGGGAGAAAAGCGTGGTTTCATTTATGCATGAGCAGAATATTATTTGCAGCTGAACACAGTTGGAACAACATTGCGCATGAGCAGACCATTATTTGTGGGCAGTTATTTGCAGGTCATGTGGTGGACTCTCGGCTAATGGAAAGAAAGAAACATTTGCATCGAATGATGATATTATTTGACAAAATTATTAACAATTCAGTATGTCACAACTGCAAAAGGCTAAACTGAGTAAGGACTATGTTTAGCAAGGACAAATTTAAATCATGTTGTCAAAACGAGATGCTAAAGCATTCATTAAAAACTACCATACAACAATGCATTATTACCCTTTTATCACGCTTTTAAAACGTTTGTTTTATTGTAGTCTACTAATGTTAAGTATTCTGTAGTTATTTTAAACTTTCTTTTTACTACAGATTCTGTTTAGAGCTTAGTTTAAATTTAATACAGCAGTTGCAATTTTCAATCAACAGACGAGAGCTTAATGAACACACCTTTTGTAAATCAATGATTCACGCCTATAATCTGTACAGAAATAAACTTGCAATCTCACCTTGTTTTTTTCGTGATGGGTGAAGTAAGCCTCTCATTGAACGATGAGTTGTGGATGTGTCCTTGATAGAAATAAATAAAAAGGCAAAGTAGGGCAATGTTGATAATAATTTAGTGTTATCACAGTGATTTTGTTACAAATAGTTATGGTGAGTCCTGGGACTGATATTGTGAAAAATCATGAGTCCCTATCCATAATCAATGAGTCCCAGTTCGCCTTTACAGTGTATGTTATCAGACAAATAAACTGGAGACAGTTGCCAACACTCTTTATTACAGTTTACTGAAATTAAAATCTAGTCCTTCTGTATATTCAAAGCACAAAAAAGAATAAAAAAAATATATATATATATACATCTTTAAACAACAGCCACAGAAATCACACAAACACAATATTCTACCAAATAAATCTTCAAATCGATTGATCCTTCTTTGCGTCCTATGGGACGCATGCCCTGAATTAATTTGTGTCTTTTGGTATTTTTATGAGTAAGGGATGCAGGACACAGAGGTAACAAAATCACTTGTTATCAGCACGTAATTCATCATCCGGTGGTAGTCCTAAGAGGGACCACCACTGCCAGGAAGATCCTAGCACTAGAGACGAACCAAACAAAAATTTATTGCAACTGGTTGTTCACTGGGTAATCACTGCAATAAAGGCTGACAATTTCGTTCGGTGTAAAGAACTGCCAGCTGCTGCTCAAATGTAGTTATTAACGCTAGTAAAAGTGAGCAGAAGGGCCCAAATTGCATGTTTGTTGCCTGCCATTTTTAATTTCTTCTCTACTTGGTACCCACACAGATTGAAATTTCAGCATGTACGACCAATAAAAATTGTTCCGCCTTCTAGGACCTTCCTGGTGCCCGTACGTTCCTAAATCCAACTAAACAGCCCCTATATTTAGTAGCATCTACCATACCTCCTTAGCAATCAGTGCATATGCAGGCCTAAGGGGCGGCGTAGGTCTGAGTCTTGTGAAATCCCAATGTCCCTTCCTTTGTGGGCTTTGAGGTATTGAGCTGAAGGCAGTCAGGTCAGTGGCAACTGAATGTGGAGTTGAAGCTGAACGGAACTTTGTCCCCTCACTAGAAGACTATTATAAAGAAAAGATCTGAATCATTCAACTTGCTCCATGAAACTGGAAGGACCTTCACAAAATCATCCCAAATGCTACAGGGTAAGCACCTTTACAAGAATTTTCACTAAAATATTATCAACAGGCCTAGTCTCCTAAAAAACGTTTAACCCAGAATTCTCCAGGAAAATGAGTAATTTTAATTTTTAGTGGACAAAAACCTTGTACCAGAATAATTTAAACAATATTGCATTCTTTTTTACATTTTTGAAGGGCTATAGATGTAATTAATTATCTGTAATAACATCAATGAAAATTTCTTATGGGAGCCCGAGAAAACGAATGTCAAATTTCACAAAATGACATCTTACACACAAAATTTTCAGAATTTTACCTGTGTTTTCACAATTCTTGTGAAATTTGACATTTATTTTCTCGGGCTGCCATGAGAAATAGTCTTTGGTGTTATAAAAGATAACTAATTATATCTATAGCCCTTGAAAAATGTAAAAAAGAATGCAATATTGTTTAAACTATTCTGGTACAAGGTTTTTGTCCACTGCAAATTGAAATTACTCAATTTCCTGATGAATTCCCTCTTAAATGTTTGCTTATGACATGTAGCCTGCACCAGAGATGAAAGTACAGTTCCTGCTAAGACTGTCTGCCAGCCATTGTGCAAATCCTTGTTCTTGCCCTTAGCTGTGTACCAGGATTTGAGTACACACTATAGTTGGCCTGTTCAACTGGCTATTCAGGTTGAAGAAAAATTAGAAACACGCTTCCAGTAATAGAGTACTAAAGTGATGATGTCATAAAAATGAAATTTCTGAAATTATGGGATTTGTCAGGATATTCTGAAAGAACAATGTCCAAGAGGCCTACTTGCCAAAAATGAGCATTTNAATGTGGAGTTGAAGCTGAACGGAACTTTGTCCCCTCACTAGAAGACTATTATAAAGAAAAGATCTGAATCATTCAACTTGCTCCATGAAACTGGAAGGACCTTCACAAAATCATCCCAAATGCTACAGGGTAAGCACCTTTACAAGAATTTTCACTAAAATATTATCAACAGGCCTAGTCTCCTAAAAAACGTTTAACCCAGAATTCTCCAGGAAAATGAGTAATTTTAATTTTTAGTGGACAAAAACCTTGTACCAGAATAATTTAAACAATATTGCATTCTTTTTTACATTTTTGAAGGGCTATAGATGTAATTAATTATCTGTAATAACATCAATGAAAATTTCTTATGGGAGCCCGAGAAAACGAATGTCAAATTTCACAAAATGACATCTTACACACAAAATTTTCAGAATTTTACCTGTGTTTTCACAATTTTTGTGAAATTTGACATTTATTTTCTCGGGCTGCCATGAGAAATAGTCTTTGGTGTTATAAAAGATAACTAATTATATCTATAGCCCTTGAAAAATGTAAAAAAGAATGCAATATTGTTTAAACTATTCTGGTACAAGGTTTTTGTCCACTGCAAATTGAAATTACTCAATTTCCTGATGAATTCCCTCTTAAATGTTTGCTTATGACATGTAGCCTGCACCAGAGATGAAAGTACAGTTCCTGCTAAGACTGTCTGCCAACCATTGTGCAAATCCTTGTTCTTGCCCTTAGCTGTGTACCAGGATTTGAGTACACACTATAGTTGGCCTGTTCAACTGGCTATTCAGGTTGAAGAAAAATTAGAAAGACGCTTCCAGTAATTGATTGAGTCCATAAGAAGTCCAGAACAAGGATCTCAGTGCTGCTTCACAGACATTACTACAATGCAGGCTGATGAGAAGTTGCCATTTAGAACAGGTTCCAACTACCATACCTGTGAATATACACCAGAGGTACTACTAGAGCCCTTGGGTGTGGCTGAGTTTGGTGGTGACCCAAAAGAATCACTCCTTGGAGGACTGGACTTTGAAAATGTCCGTTCTGTGAATGGTGCAGGATGTCTCTCCACCCACGGAGAAGGTGATGTGACACTGCCCTTCTCAGAGTGCAACCGAAGGGTTTCAAGCCAAGCTGTCTTTTCATGACCATGATTGGTTGACAACTTCATGACATCTCCGCCAACTGAAAGATGGTGCAAAAAGGACAGATACCTAATTTATTACTTGGCATGCAATGAAAGGTGTCCGATAGCAAGGGGTGAGCGGATAAATTTGCTGTCCATCTAGTGATCTTAACTTGCCCAATGGGCCAGTAAAGTCTTTTGGGAAATTCCCTTTCAAATTACAGAAAAACTGTCCTCAATCCTGCTCAACAAAATATTTTTCAGGCTAGTTAAAATGATTCTTGGGGTAGTACATGCTTTGCAAGCTGTAAAATGACTTTCTTTGTACTCTGATAATTTTGGCAAAAAAGGAGGAGACAAGTGTATGTATAAACTATACCAACCCTCCAAGTTGCGACCACTTTAGTCGCCATGGCGCCTAAAATTTTGGAACTGGCGACTTGATTTGGAGAATAGTCGCCAAGCTTGCGACCATGAAGAATAGGTTCATGTTGTGGCGTATAGAAACAGAAATGGTAACCACTTCTACTGAAATATGAAGAACATTTATTCTAGCTGATTTGAATTCCATTATTTTTTTACTTTTCCGTTGAAAAACATGCTAAATTGAAAACTTAAAAAAGTCTCAGGGCTAAGCGTTTTGAAAATGAACATCAATGAAACTTGACTTGCATTCGTTCGCCTAATAGCCTTCAGTCTGTTGCCTTGCACGTGACATTTTAACTTTTGACATGTGACAGATGGCACACAATCGAAGCGCCTTGCTTGTCGACAGTGACGATTTCTTCGATATCGTAGGAATGCTTGTCTAACCAAGTTCGGTGGTTTTTTAACTGGACTACATATTATAAATATTTTTGAATCAATACTGAAACAATCTAATAACATGAAGAGGAAAAGCTAAATTGGTGCAAATTCAACACAGAACATTATGTGATAACCGTAATATGTGAACCGTGCTGCGAGTTGAATCGCGGTTTTGTAAACAAAAGCGATAATTGTAAGTGAAACTAAACATCGCAAAACTGACAGCTTATGGTTGTTGCAAAAAATGTTTTTTTAAACACCTGTAGGGATGATAAAGGAGAGAGAAAATTTATTATTTCGTAGGCGGCATTTTTGTTTGGGTTCCTTTCAATTGATTGGGAAAAAAAATTTTTCCCAGTACAACTCGTTGCGAAATTTTCACCTGTGCAATATTATCTCTGTGAAGCAATGATTTCACTTAGAAAACTTGTCAATCTTCCTATACTCTCCTGCCTTTGTCAGGCTTTCGCAATGTCTAGCGATATTAAAAACGACCTTTGAAATCTCCAAAAATATTTGTTAGTTGGGGAAACAAGTTCATCATCAACAAAAGTCACAAAAGAAATGCGAAACAAATATCAGAAAAAAAATAGGTCGCCTATCAAGTTGCGACTGGGAAATTTTGAAAACATTAACAGAGGATGAGTTAAGTTCTGATCTCATATACCAACTGGGGATTATATAAAAGGATTGAAGGCCCTAAAGACAAATGGAAATGGTAATTGTTAATTCCGTTTCAGTATTGATTCAAGGAAATAAATCTGCAACCCTTATTCCCAGACTATCAGTAACTAATGCCTTGCACAATAAACGAGTAATTTATATGACAGTGCTGCATTTTAAGTTAAACTTGCTAACTGCTTTTGTTAATGACAATTTTGATATATTAAGTCATTAATATAATTTGGTTTGGTTTTGTCAGGGGAAGAAGGAGGTGCTGTTCCTTGGCTGATTATGGTTAACATGGACCACTTAACTTTGGGTGTGCTCATCAGAGATATCAGGGGGAGGAACTTTGTTCAAAGCTTTCAAGACCAACTAGGAAACTTTTAGTAGTGCATATATGGAAGCATATTAATAAAAAACATCTTAATGTCAAAATAATTAACAATTATTGGACGAGGTTGAGCAAAATATCATGATTTCTCAGTGGACACTAGTTCAATATTATTATTTGACGAAGCTGAAGGCTAAAGCAAATAATTGATCTGGGAGACACTGACAAATGACCATATTTTGTGATAACTGAGTTTAATTATTGTTTTATCAATCATTCACCGAGTTTGCTTTTAGTGAAAATCCTCGGGAAGCGAAACAATCAGCCATTTTCATGCAAGAGTGATCGCAAGAGGGAGAAAAGCGTGGTTTCATTTATGCATGAGCAGAATATTATTTGCAGCTGAACACAGTTGGAACAACATTGCGCATGAGCAGACCATTATTTGTGGGCAGTTATTTGCAGGTCATGTGGTGGACTCTCGGCTAATGGAAAGAAAGAAACATTTGCATCGAATGATGATATTATTTGACAAAATTATTAACAATTCAGTATGTCACAACTGCAAAAGGCTAAACTGAGTAAGGACTATGTTTAGCAAGGACAAATTTAAATCATGTTGTCAAAACGAGATGCTAAAGCATTCATTAAAAACTACCATACAACAATGCATTATTACCCTTTTATCACGCTTTTAAAACGTTTGTTTTATTGTAGTCTACTAATGTTAAGTATTCTGTAGTTATTTTAAACTTTCTTTTTACTACAGATTCTGTTTAGAGCTTAGTTTAAATTTAATACAGCAGTTGCAATTTTCAATCAACAGACGAGAGCTTAATGAACACACCTTTTGTAAATCAATGATTCACGCCTATAATCTGTACAGAAATAAACTTGCAATCTCACCTTGTTTTTTTCGTGATGGGTGAAGTAAGCCTCTCATTGAACGATGAGTTGTGGATGTGTCCTTGATAGAAATAAATAAAAAGGCAAAGTAGGGCAATGTTGATAATAATTTAGTGTTATCACAGTGATTTTGTTACAAATAGTTATGGTGAGTCCTGGGACTGATATTGTGAAAAATCATGAGTCCCTATCCATAATCAATGAGTCCCAGTTCGCCTTTACAGTGTATGTTATCAGACAAATAAACTGGAGACAGTTGCCAACACTCTTTATTACAGTTTACTGAAATTAAAATCTAGTCCTTCTGTATATTCAAAGCACAAAAAAGAATAAAAAAAATATATATATATATACATCTTTAAACAACAGCCACAGAAATCACACAAACACAATATTCTACCAAATAAATCTTCAAATCGATTGATCCTTCTTTGCGTCCTATGGGACGCATGCCCTGAATTACTTTGTGTCTTTTGGTATTTTTATGAGTAAGGGATGCAGGACACAGAGGTAACAAAATCACTTGTTATCAGCAGGTAATTCATTATCCAGTGGTAGTCCTAAGAGGGACCACCACTGCCAGGAAGATCCTAGCACTAGAGACGAACCAAACAAAAATTTATTGCAACTGGTTGTTCACTGGGTAATCACTGCAATAAAGGCTGACAATTTCGTTCGGTGTAAAGAACTGCCAGCTGCTGCTCAAATGTAGTTATTAACGCTAGTAAAAGTGAGCAGAAGGGCCCAAATTGCATGTTTGTTGCCTGCCATTTTTAATTTCTTCTCTACTTGGTACCCACACAGATTGAAATTTCAGCATGTACGACCAATAAAAATTGTTCCGCCTTCTAGGACCTTCCTGGTGCCCGTACGTTCCTAAATCCAACTAAACAGCCCCTATATTTAGTAGCATCTACCATACCTCCTTAGCAATCAGTGCATATGCAGGCCTAAGGGGCGGCGTAGGTCTGAGTCTTGTGAAATCCCAATGTCCCTTCCTTTGTGGGCTTTGAGGTATTGAGCTGAAGGCAGTCAGGTCAGTGGCAACTGAATGTGGAGTTGAAGCTGAACGGAACTTTGTCCCCTCACTAGAAGACTATTATAAAGAAAAGATCTGAATCATTCAACTTGCTCCATGAAACTGGAAGGACCTTCACAAAATCATCCCAAATCCTACAGGGTAAGCACCTTTACAAGAATTTTCACTAAAATATTATCAACAGGCCTAGTCTCCTAAAAAACGTTTAACACAGAATTCTTCAGGAAAATGAGTAATTTTAATTTTTAGTGGACAAAAACCTTGTACCAGAATAATTTAAACAACATTGCATTCTTTTTTACATTTTTCAAGGGCTATAGATGTAATTAATTATCTGTAATAACATCAATGAAAATTTCTTATGGGAGCCCGAGAAAACGAATGTCAAATTTCACAAAATGACATCTTACACACAAAATTTTCAGAATTTTACCTGTGTTTTCACAATTCTTGTGAAATTTGACATTTATTTTCTCGGGCTGCCATGAGAAATAGTCTTTGGTGTTATAAAAGATAACTAATTATATCTATAGCCCTTGAAAAATGTAAAAAAGAATGCAATATTGTTTAAACTATTCTGGTACAAGGTTTTTGTCCACTGCAAATTGAAATTACTCAATTTCCTGATGAATTCCCTCTTAAATGTTTGCTTATGACATGTAGCCTGCACCAGAGATGAAAGTACAGTTCCTGCTAAGACTGTCTGCCAGCCATTGTGCAAATCCTTGTTCTTGCCCTTAGCTGTGTACCAGGATTTGAGTACACACTATAGTTGGCCTGTTCAACTGGCTATTCAGGTTGAAGAAAAATTAGAAACACGCTTCCAGTAATAGAGTACTAAAGTGATGATGTCATAAAAATGAAATTTCTGAAATTATGGGATTTGTCAGGATATTCTGAAAGAACAATGTCCAAGAGGCCTACTTGCCAAAAATGAGCATTTCGCGGCAAATTGTCTCTGAGATCGTAGCCCAGTTATACTCAGAAAACTCCATACAAACCCTTCTAACTTTTTTTGGGGTCGACCCAAAAAAAATTTAGAAGGGTTTGTATGGAGTTTTGTAAGCATAACTGGGCTACGATCTCAGAGACAATTTGCCCCCAAATGCTCATTTTTGGTAAGTAGGCCTCTTAGACATTGTTCTTTCAGAATATCCTGACAAATCCCATAATTTCAGAAATTTCATTTTTATGACGTCACACTTTAGTACTCTATTCATTGAGTCTATAAGAAGTCCAGAACAAGGATCTCAGTGCTGCTTCACAGACATTACTACAATGCAGGCTGATGAGCAGTTGCCATTTAGGACAGGTTCCAACTACCATACCTGTGAATATACACCAGAGGTACTACTAGAGCCCTTGGGTGTGGCTGAGTTTGGTGGCGACCCAAAAGAATCACTCCTTGGAGGACTGGACTTTGAAAATGTCCGTTCTGTGAATGGTGCAGGATGTCTTTCCACCCACGGGGAAGGTGATGTGACACTGCCCTTCTCAGAGTGCAAGCGAAGGGTTTCAAGCCAAGCTGTCTTTTCATGACCATGATTGGTTGACAACTTCATGACATCTCCGCCAACTGAAAAATGATGCAAAAAGGATAGATACCTAATTTATTACACGGCATGCAATGAAAGGTGTCCGATAACAAGGGGTGAGTGGATAAATTTGCTGTCCATCTAGTGATCTTAACTTGCCCAATGGGCCAATAAAGTCTGTTGGGGAATTCCATTTCAAATTACAGAAAAACTGTCCTCAATCCTGCTCAACAACATATTTTTCAGGCTAGTTAAAATGATTCTTGGGGTAGTACATGCTTTGCAAGCTGTAAAAATGACTTTCTTCGTACTCTGATAATTTTGGCAAAAAAGGAAGAGACAAGTGTATGTATAAACTATACTGCACGGAAATTAAGCGGAATTCAGTCCTTCAGTTATATCACTGGCATGAAAGGTTTCCAAAAAGGAAGACCAGCTTCAATATACAACATTAATAGGACTGAGGAGTCTTATTCAGTCGGTAATCATACAAGTCATTAACAAAATCAAGCAACCACATGGCAGGAGTCCGATTTGTTTAATCACAAGAATGATTACCGCCCGATTTTGACAACACGAAGTTCTGTTACTAATTCATCATAACTACAAAATTGATATTTAACAATTTTAAGGCTTTTTACTAATTAAAACAAAAGAAATTCCGAGACTATTTTTGTTAGCAGTGAAAAAGCCATTTAAATGCATGCATGCAATGGCGCGTACTGTCCAATTATTTAGGCACGATGCGTACTGTCCTATTATACTTTCCTATTAATGCTGAAATCAGGACAGTTGATAGCCAATCAGATTTGAAAATTTTGTTATAGTTATGATTATATTATTATTTGGACTGAACTTGGGATAGATGCTGGCTTGATTTACATGAGAATAAAACAAGACTTGTTATTATAAATCTAACAGCTTTCACACAAAACTTTTACTTACCCTTAATTTCAAAAGCATTTAAAATGCCTTCTGTATCTTCCAGTGAATGAGCTGTTATATCTGAAAGACTGTACTTTTTCTAAAAAGAAAAATAAAATGGACAATAAAAATTATCACTGGCCAATTAAAAAATAACAACAACAATAATGATGATTTTGATAGAGCTGAAACCAATAAAACTCATTTTCACAAGAAACCTCTTTCTCAATGTCAATATAGTACTGTTTAGTTTATAACAGTTGAAATTTTTCTTGACTTATGACTGGACATTCTAGTGAACCAATCAGCTTGAATTTAAAGTGAAATTGTACCTCAAATTTGTATCCACAAGCATTTGCATTGACTGAAAGAATAATGAGGCAGTTTGGAAACAAAAGAAAGGATCTTTCTCTGACTTCCTAAATTGGAAAAATAACCCAAAACACATACAGTATTAGTGCTGATATTGGAAACTTGCTTTTATTATCAGTAATATTACATATAAACAGATAATGGAAAAATAAGTTGCTAATATTACTATGAATGTATCCAAAAATAGCCGTTAGTTGTTAGTGACACTATTTAACCTTTGGTAAACAACTTAACTGTCCCAGATCAGTCTGACTTACTAAGTTCATGCAACCTTAATCCTCAAATATCATTGAGGACATGCAAGATACAAAACAACACGTTTTAAAAACTTAAGCTGCCAATTTTTCCACTAAGAGATATTTTGACATGAAATTTTACCAACAATAAAGTATGTTAAAATCATTGGCCTGTAAAATTGCAAGAGAATAGACTGCTAGACAATTATACAAACGAAGTTGACTTTGATCTTGCTTCCTTGCATGGGAGCTATGGGCACAAGGGACTTAATATTGGAAGGATCCTTAAATATATAACAGGAAGAAATTCTATGATGTAGCTGTATTGTACAATGCAGCTGAAAAACTCAGAGAGGGAAAAAAACCAAACTCAATAAATAAACTAAAGGTATAATTTAGAGAGCATAAATTTTACCCCATTTTCCCCATGAATAAGAAACTGTGACATTAAAATCAAATCTCCTTGTTTGCTAATATCCTGTAAAAAAATAGAACTGTTAATTTGAAGAAATAACAAAGAATAACAAAAATATATTAAATAAAATTGAACTTCCTTTTCTTGATGGTAAATACCTATGATAATTTCTTATAACGATTTATGTACATTGCATATAAAAATGCAACAAATAGAATCCTTAGGATGCAAAGAGGAATAAGCACATGTACATGTAAACCATTCAGATGCTAAGCACAATAAAAATTATAACATTCAAAGTAAACAAAGCTAAGACTGAACAGGGAATATGCAGAGGAAGCTTTAAGGTTAGGAAAAATGAAACCCTGTTAACAAACTCTGTAAACCTTATAATCCACAAATAAATGTAAAATCAGTTACACTGTAGAAAGATTGGGCCTTTCTAAATTCAAATTAATCCTGAAAGAGTTATCACTCAAAAATGTCAACTACTTCAATGCAAATAATAGTTCACATTCTAGTACACAAACATGACTGTGAACGCTAGGCAATACAGTGAAATGAAAGCAAACTTGACCTATCAAAATGTTGTTATCATCTTCTATAAATTCACTTACATCTTCCTCCCAGCCCTCTATCGTTCCTGTCAGCATTTCTAATTCGGTTTCTTTTCTTTTCCTAGTCTCATGGCAGCTTGTCTGAAAGTGGAAAAATCTACAGATCAGAGGAAGAAAAGGCATAATTTTTTCAACCGAGCATTTAACAACTGAGGTCGTATTTGTGTGATAAAACAATCATGTTGAAACAGGCAAGGTTTAAGAACTCATGTTTGAACAAAACTTCGTGACAAGCTACACAGTGATTACAGGCGTGACAATTGCCACTGTTAATCCCATCAATCCTTTATATCAACACACACATTCTCCATACTGTTCCCAGGTACACTACTTAAGGTACTCTCAAGGAGAAGTTGTTTAACAGTCAAGACATTTTATCTGTGGGTGATCTCTCTCCCATCTACTTAAAAACATAATCTTCAATTAAGCTGAGACATTAAAAGGATAAAATTAACACTGGTCACAATTAGGCTTAAAATACATGACCCTTACCCTCTTTATCCAAATTCTTAACATTTGTGTGGTGGTGAAAAAAATCCATGCTAAGGGGACTCAGACTATAGTAGTCTCTGAACGATACCCCTTGGAATTCTTTCATACTGTACTCCATGTTTTAGTATTTGACAAAGAATTTTCAAATTTTCACTAAAATTTGGAGTTTGGGATGAGAAAGAAGAATTTACCTCTTTATATTGCCAGGGTTAGAAAGGTTGAGAGCAGAGTAAAACAAAAGGGTGAAATATTATAATGCAATTCAATTTTCAGCTGATGTTATTACACACTGTGAACACTTACCGTCAAATTTTGAAAAACAGCTATTGCCTTTTTGGTGTCCAATTCATCTATGTGCCCTTCCTAAAGTGAAGAAGAAAATAAATATTACAAGCTTCATGATTACATGCAAGAAATATTAACCTATTAAAAATTCCTTAGAGATTTTTTAACATGATGCTATTTTAGAAAATTTTATCCCATGAAAGTGCTTATTGCCATTTAAAATTTACGCAATAAAAAAAGCACGAAACACAAACAGGGGTGTCACCAGAAAGGGGGAAAATCTTAAAGATGTAACCTTTAGATGCAGGAAAAAAAAGCAACCCAATTAAAGTTTGGATCCAACAAAAAAGTCCCAATTCTGACCAAATCTAAAACCAGACTGCAGTGGCTACTTGTCAACAGTGGTAATAAGAAAGAAGCACTAAAGTCTGTCAAAGAAATCCTAATGTGTGATGACCCATAATATTATTCACAAATTTTACAGGGGAAGAAATCCATGGCATTTTGTATTGCAGTTATGTATGCAGAACCGATCATCAAAATTAATTTAAATGTTCTCAAACCTCAAGATGTCTCTCCAACTCTTTCATATGATTTGGATACTTGCCAAGATGTCTGAAGGGCTAATAAACAAGAAAGACAAGGATCCACAACTTAAATTCATGGAAAGAGCATACCACAACAGTTTTTCAAATTTTAGTCAACAAATATTGATAACAGACTAATGCAAAAGAAAATGAAGATCTTCAACACACTTTTTTAGAAATTATGTATCAATGTGAATTTCCAACTTGCTTCTCTCACATGGAATGTTAATCCTAGAAGCGGATTGTAGATTTAACTGTCTGATAAACAACTGCACAGACAGTCTTTGAGGATAACAAAACATTATTTGTAGTTATATTGGTCTGAAATAGTTAAATCAAGACTACTGTACTAAAACAAAAATTAGGTAGAAAAATAATATGGCCATGAAAAAATTCTGTACAACAAAAAGAGATCCTAAGTTATCGATTTTCATTTGGGCAACTAATTCTCCAACCTTTATTTTTAGTCATTAATGCTTTATTTCAGTTATTAATGAATTCAGCTTGCACTAATTGGAGGCTTGAGAGAAAAAACTTCTTGTTCATGGCCTAGCTAAACAATAAAAAATGATGGTCACATGGATTTGCTAAATGAGTGAACAATGTTTGCCCAAACATCAAACAAAGACAGCCCACTTGATACTTTGTGTGTTTACCGCTGAATTATGATATAGATGCTACTGGCCATCACAGATTTGGTCAATGATTGATTGATTTTTCCAAGTGTGTGTTAACTTTCCCTTGGCCAAATAGTCAGAAATGCCATTCCACCACAATGTGGGATGAAAATGTTTGGAACATAGAAAAGTAAAGAAACAAGAGTGTTGATTAACCTACATTACTAAGACTGGTTGTCAGTGTTAGTATTCCTGGTGCTGGAGCTCCCTTACTTTCAATGAATGCTGACAACTCATCACTGCAAGGTAACAAACCAAACAGCACATTTATCTATAACATAATCCTCAAATCTGATTGGCTATCAGCTGTCCTAATTTTAGCTTTAATAGGACAGTGTAATAGGTCTGCACGTGTCATGCTTAAGTAATATTAGGGACTTTACGGTCTGACGACGTGACGGCAACGGGAACGTCAAAAACAACAATAGGTTTAGTGGGCAAAACAACAACTTTGCAAGTGCATCTCACGTTTTTGTACATTTCTTTGCCGTTTTTGCATGACTACAACGTGAAATTGCCTAATTTTACTTTTAAGGGAGGACGTAAACAAGCGACGACACAGCTTTATTCTCTTTCTAAACTTGAATATGGTTCTTAGAAATTCAATTCCGTGAGGGTTCGCCTACATTTGACAAAGTAAGTGAGTTGGTATAATTGCGATGAAGACCGAAAGAATGCAAATTCATTTTTGAAGCGACGTTTTCACTGCCGTCGCGTCGTCGGATTGTAAAGTCCCTATTATTGAACAGTAGACGCGATCGTGCACATGCACTTGGATGTTTTTTTATTTTCACTGCTACCAAAAGACTATCAGAATATCTTACGTTTAATTTTAAAAACCTTAAAATATCACAAATTTTGTTACACCTGAAGTTATGATTAATTGGTACAGAACTTTCTGCTGTCCAATTCAGTGTGTAATCATACTTAAACAAATCAGACTCCCGCTATGAGGTCATCAGATTTTGTTAGTCATGACTTATGAGGAACCAGGGATACACTTTACAGTGATAGTGAGGGTCAACAAGTAACATTGCAGGATGTCACCCTATTTTTGAGTACAATGCAATAACTCCTTAACACAGTTATAGTTGGTTTCATATTGATTAACTAATTGAATGATAAAAACTTTTACATAACCTTGCTTTTCCACCTAGAATCTTAGTTATGCTTCCCTTTACTTACCCATATTTTGTAAGCACTTCAACTGCCCTTGGATGGTTTGCACAGTACATCATATACAATTCCTTCATCTGTCAAAGCAAATTACACTTTGGTTAAGATGACAAATTCCCTAGCAACCTTACAGACCCCTATTTTTTCACTTACCTGAGATTGTCACTATCATTTCCCTACTTTAATGGGTAGCCAACTTTACTAATGCTGTGTTTAGACTTGAGCGTGCTACCGAGGTATTGGAGTTAGCTTACCTAGGTAAATATTTTGCATGTGTAAATGCCAACTGATACCCTGGTAAACACCGCTCAAGACAATAGAAAGTTAACTAAGGTAAAAGTTCGGTTTACCCTGCGAGCAGGCAGGGTTAAGGTCAGTAACCAAGGTTTGGATGACAGATACATCCGCTTGCGGTCACATAGAATTTCACATCCTGTGGTGTCGGGATTGCGTCAGTCTTATTCGATCACGTTTTCGAGACCAGGTTTTCAACCAGGTTTCCATGTTTGGTTTCGGTCTACGAAGAAGTTATGGCAAAAACCAAAGACACAAAAGACACACCATTCTTCAACAAAATTTCCGTTTAATAGAGTTTCGAACCAGAATTGGTTTCTCGGCCATGACCACGCACATCTAATACGCCTTGTCTTGCGAAGGGCAATTTGTAGCAGAATTAATCGATTTCGCCTCGACCTCTTTAGGTGCTGTAAAAGTAAGAGCTGCTGCAATCTCGATTCCTGGGTTTGCTGATCAAGAACAAGAAAATAAAATGCGAGGACTACAAGAGCCACAGCTTCTCTTCTAAACGCGAGCATTTTATGCGTGGATTTAGAATTTGCCGCCAATTTGATTAGATTGTGCTTGATGACAGATTTACCTTAGTTATTCGAGCCTGTATAAACACTGTACAAATGTACCAGGGTTTAGTCAGTTAATGTTTACCTTGGTAAACGCTTGAGTGTAAACACAGCATAAGTGATACTATTGTAACCAACTCTCTCTAACTGTCAAATGTCATCCCCTTGAAATTAGCAAGATTATTATTTTTGTCACTTGCACTACCATGTTGGGGGGGGGGGGGGGGGGGGGGGGGGGGGTGCCTGAAAAGTTGGTGGAGCCAAGGGCCATAGCCGAGAGCAATGCATAACGATGACAGGCAGGCACTGTCACACTGCTAACCAGTGAAACCTAGGCTTCTTACCATATACTTACCAAAGGGAAGACAGGAAAGGGGAAAAAACAGGCTAATGAGCACCAGCAACAAGAAGCAAGATGAACTTAATGGGCTAACCTCAGCTGCAAAGCTGTAAAACCCAAATGCCCCTGTGAAGCTATTAGGGTGCCCTTGAAAATCACAAGTGAGAGACTGGTGGACAGCATCGTTTTGAGTTTAAGTTAGCCTAAATTTCATTTAGCCACATAACAACACTATTATAGCAACATATGGCTCTTACTTTACAGTGCAGACACTCAACCTGGAACACTTGGAAGAAGACTGTCCAATAATTTACTATGTTTTCCGAAAACGAAATATTCTGAAGTTTTTTTGGGTTATGAACCATACCATTCATAAATTTGAGGGCTGTTTCCTGGGAGGTCAGTTAAGCTCAAACGGTTTTAAGTTTTCAACAGTTGCATAGTTGAATAATTCAATTTTATTGGTCTGTTTGCAGAAAAACTTGAGAATCTTTTGTTTTCAGAAAATGTAGTGATTCAATAATCTTCTTCCAAGTGTCCCGATTTCA